TGAGTCTCAGCCCCCCAGAGCCATCCTTGCTCCATGTCTCTTGCCAGTTTTCTTGACTTGCCCTGGATACTGGAGTATTTTCTGTGTAGTTGTATAACTAGAGCTTGGCCTCTCCCACTGTGGTAGAGGCTAGAAAAAGAGGAACAGTCCATAGGGGAAGGCCGTGAGTGTTAAGGGACCTGAGTGGTGTTGGTGCTCTCCTGCTGTCACCAAAAGTAAGAAGCTGGGCACAGGGATTCCAGATCGGTCCTGTGTGGGGTCTTCACACCCATTTCTATTCAGCCTGCTAGGAAATATGTGGTGTGAGCCTTTCAGCTGTTTACAAAGCATGAATTCCCAGACTGGGTCCTTGTCCTCCCAACTGTGCCTTGAGGTGGTGTTTCATCCTTGTCAATTTTGATTGTTCTTCATGGTCTTGAATTAGAATCTAAAATAAAAGAGTTCTCTTTAACTAGAGAAGCTCAACCTGTGAGTTGTGTGGCTTGAACTTCTTGGGTTTCCAGTTTCCCCTAGACGGCATTTTCTAGGTCATGTGGTGTGCTTCTACTGAGAATTTTTCAATTTGATGGATAGAAACCTCTCAGATACCTGAGAGGATTACCTGTGTTCACTGATGTCATGGTTACTCTAAAGCTGACCTAAATCTGCCGAAGGTACTTGCAGACTCCTGTTACATCAAAGAAGTCCTGACAGAATGCTTATGTGTTCAATATTGTAGGCATTGGAGAAAGTGTGGCTGAGATACAGTGGATGCGTAGACTCGGATGTCCCTGGTGACTGTGTTTAGAAAGAGCTTCAGTTTGTACTGTTGTGATTTGTACCGGGGTATTAGACTGTTTAATAATGGTTAGACCCTAAATGATTATGCTTTTGATGTGTTTATTGTTTGAACCTTGCATTCCTACTGATGAACTTAATATATCGATTTCCTTACATCTTGTTTAAAAATAAATGTAGTTTATTGAAATTATGTTTTTCCTACTAACACTGCCTTCAGAGCGAAACTCAGTATGGGCTGTAGATAAATACTTTGTGGAGACTTGGTTTTGCTCTTGTCCTCATCCAGACCCTCCCTCGTCCTCCAGGTGCCTTTAAATCACCAGCTGTCTTACTTTCTGAAGCATCTTGCCACAGTTGATCTAGAAGTAAAGAAATGGAAGTAGATACTTTTTTTCACCTCATATGGGAACTCTTATGTTGTAGTGCCAAGGGATATGACTGCTAGCTAGAAGGCTGG